TAATAATATTAATCTGCATAACATAATATATGGGTTTTTTGTTGCATGAATAATACAGTTTTTTACGATATCATCGAAAAAAAAATGTGTGCTTAACATATTATAATAGGTATATTATGTAGTTTGCACGGTTGGTAACGTTTTTGTACTAACATCGAAAAATGTAAATATTTTTGGTCAGCAGACTCACCTACCCTTAGTGAATCGAATTATTTCAACATACTTGATTGTAATAAATATAACCTTATCATATTGGTCTAGTGCAGCGGTTCTCAAACATTTTTTTTCGCGTACCACTTAAGTATACTATCAATTAGTCGCGTACCACTGATGGTTACAAATAGAAAGATACAAACTTTACATTGTTAAACACATTTATTTTAAATAAAAATGCAGTAAAATATTACAATATAGTTATTATTTATTTATTAATACACATTTATTAGTGTTTAAAAATTAATGAATGAATTAAATAATACATTTTCAATGAGAACCTTGGATTTGTGGATTTGATATTAGCGATGAAATATCTGGTTCAGTGTTACTTAAGGCCTTCCGTGTACCAACATGTAGTATTTTGCGTACCACAGTTTGAGAACCCGCTGGTCTAGTGGCCCATGCACGACATTGCGTTGTATTAGTATTTTTATTTATTATTATATTATATTATTATTTTATGAAGTTGCACGTTGGTGGATGATGAACCATGCAATCAAAGATTATTAAAATCAAAAGGTAAGTGATTTGATGAATGATTAAAATTTAGTGTATGGTCACTAGAATACACATTTCTCCTTAAAATCAATTGCATTTTATTGTATAATACACCTACTCGGTGTAATATATTTTATGATATTTAAAAAAGCTTTCAATAATTTTTGTTTTTACAAACTTATAAGTTACTTAGCTGGGTAACTTTATAATAATGCTCATTACAAAATATGAATATTTGCCACTTTTATTCGTACAGTTTTTCGTCGACTTTTACGAATAAAAAAAAATGTATCATACATTTGATCAAATTATCAAATCATCAATAATCAAATTGTCATCAATAACACAAGAAAGCAAAGTCATTATTGGTAAAATCCAATCAATCATAGTAATAATTTCAAAGCTTTAATGCAATATGCATGAAGGTATTGGAATAATATGATGCTCTTAGTCGAGATTCGAGACGAACATTTAGATAATTATTTTGAAGAAGATAACACCAGCTCACAACGTAGCTTAACGATAATATTATATTGATGTGACGGTATAATATTACAATATTAATTTATTTTCATTTTAGTATTAGTTATTAAAATGATTATTAAATCAAAATCAAAAAATAGTTTTGTCCCAAATTGTTTTTTTTCCGCTCTTTTTATCAATAGTGAAAATATCACAGAACAGTTATCACTCAACGATAATACTAAAACACACTGAAAGACGTTTTTGAAAGTAAACCAAAAATTACCAATCTATGGGGGCCCAAGGGCTTTTATTTTGAATGTCATACTGTTGGAATTCGAACGTTGAATTCTTTAGTAGTTAGCGGATCCTTCTAATTATCGTTAACAATTGTTTAATATTATGGATTTGGGCAAAAATATGTCCAACAAATTTATTATTTAATTAGGTATTGAATAACTTGTAAATCGTGTCATTTTGAGGGGTCGTGTATGACCTAAGAGGAAACACTTTGCACCGGGCTCGTAAGTTGTAGGCTGACAAAATAAAAATGATTTAACCCGGTGACTCACATGGCTCATATATCATGTACCAACAACACGGACAATTGACATTTTTTTTTTTTGTCCTGATGGTAATTTAACTTAACGCTTGCAAATTGACGTTTTTGCAAAATTATTTTCGTCGCAACGAAAATACAATGGAAAAATAAAAAACAATGACAATAAAAATACTAATAAATAAAAATGAATGCGATGAAATTAGTGAGAATCCTCTGGGGAGAAATTCTTGTACAACAATTTGTTTTCTCTGCATGTATAGAAATGCGTTGTAATGACACAATAAAATGAAATTATATTATATGGTTCTCAAAACATAATACTATATGATAATCATCTCGGAATAAACGAATAAATAGTGCTGTGTTCTGTCCTTTAAATTGTTCGGGTTTTAGTTTGATTAATGTCTGTTCATCAACGGATATAAATGTTTATCTTTTTTTATTTCTGGTACATGAATTAATGCCATTCCCCTCGTTAACTGTTTCCATTCGTGTGCGTTGCAAAATGTCCATGTATATACAGGGCTGTTACGAGTTGAACGACAAAACCCATTTGGCAAGGGTGAAAATAGCGACATTGGTCAGATATTATGGCTGTCGGTATTGAAGTAACACGGTCGGGTCGTGATAACTTGAAAAATGTTATTTTCAAATAACCATAATCACGAGTCCAATGCCTTATGACTAGGTATTCAAAATGTCATGAACATTTTCAATTATGTGAAACATAAAATAAATCTTAAATAAATAAAAAAAACTATTGTTCAAATATAATATAGTCACCCGAATTATTATTTGTTTATATTTGGAGTGAGAGGACATTTTCAAAAGTATTTTTATGGTATGAAACAAAGATGAACTACTAACAACAAAAAGTTATAACTTATAAGACACAAAATTACAACTCGTGGGTCTAGAATGAAAAGGTTCCAAGTCGTTTTCATGAAATTGTCCAGGAGAGCGATTCTAAGGTCTGAGTTCAAATAGTTTACTCCTCGACAACATATTTTTTAAATTAAAGGAATTGTATAGTTTAATTCACAACATTATAATATTCATTTGCCTTATTGGGTGGTACAAAAATTAATAAAGTACAAATTATAAATTGTGTAGTATGAAAAGGTTCAACAATATTAGAACCTTTTCATCCTAAAATAAAAGAATATATATAATTAAATTCTAATGAACTTTTTCATTTTTTATTTATTATTTTTATTATTGCTTACTGAATCCTATTCAGAATAATGATTTTGCATTGCTCCCACGAAACAATGTACCTAATAATTATTAAACATCGAAACATAGATTTCGATAGTAAAATATCACTATCTGATATCTCCTTTAGTGATAACGGCTGATTACATATTTATTTTATCGTCGTTAACGGTCGTCAGTCGCTCCGTATTATATCCGGAATACGTCAAGTAAAACAGACTTTAATTTTATCAGTTTTTGTGTACCATAATATTATATAGTACAATAATAACTTTTGGCAGTGATTTATTTAATTAGAACCTTTTCATATACATGAGTTGTTAATAATTTGGTTTTTAATTTGATTGAATTGTGTTTACAATTTAATTTTTGGCGACTGAGAACTTTTTACGTTTTAAAAAATCATCAATAATGATCTAATAATCACGAATGTTAGCTTAAAAAACGCTCCTTTGCATTCTTAAACCGTTTCTGTTAAAAAATTACTTTTGAAAAAAATGCGATTTAGAACCTTTTCTACAAACTCTTAATATTGTTAAGTTATAGATAGTGTATATATAATTATTATATTTATATTATAATTATTTAGTTTAATTTGTTGATTTTATTTATTTATTTCGTGTGGCGTAGTAGCAAAGCACATATTATCATGCACCTATAGTCATAGTTATGAAATATCACAAGTAAAAATCACAATAATCACAATACGTCACAACCAGAGTTTAAAGTATAAAAATGTTTTAAGTAAAATGATATAATTTATAGATCATTAGTCCATGTCTAGTAATTACTAATTTGTTACTTAATAATACATTAATAACATTATATTACAATAGTATTGTTACATAGTTACTAATACAGGGAAAATGTAAATATTCGATCAGCAAGGTAATTTCTGAACCACGAGATGAGAACATTAGATAAACGGTTCAATCAATGTTTTTTTTTATTCTTAAGAAGATAATTTTAAAAAAAAATGTGAAAAAAATGATGTGCATAAAAGTGTATAAAAAAGTTTCATAATTTTATTGAAATGTTATTCGGAACCATAGAAATGAATATAGTGACACACTTTAATGAAGTAACTGAGCCAAAATTAGAATTACGAGAGCAGATACGACACTCGTGGAACGAAATAAAGATATGTTTAAGTAGATATTATCTAATTTCTGAATATATTGTTGTAAGATTTCACAATTTAATTCTTTCTCCGCACAAGCAACCACGAACTTGGTCACTGTACATAATTAGCGGCATAATCTTAAATACGTTATTCAGGGGTCTAAACAATATATATATAGGTACGTACAATATTAAGTTGCGCCAAAAGTGTTATCAACAAAAGTTGCTGCACGGCGACTTTGCAATTTCTTAAAAAATAAATTATTACATCATGTTTAAAACATTATGCAAAAAATATTTTTGGCAAGAGTCTCGACAAAAAAACCACAATCGCCGTGTTTGGTATTTCAGTGCATGTTCAATTCGTTTAGTACTCAAATATTTAAATATTTACATTTCTCGAATAAAAAAAAAAAAAAAATAGAAATCATATTCTTCGTTAATAGTTTTGTTGTTAATCATTTCAATGTCCTGAACGTGTTTCATGAGTATTGATTACAACTTTGGACGAAAAACTGCGCCAGAAAACAACAAAAACAATACCTTAGTTAATAAAACGAGTCGACGATGTAGCTGCAGAGGGTTCCTGGAAATAGAGATGGCAAATTTGGACGTTTTATTCTAGAAAATACCACAAAAATCTCTGTTTGACAACTACTCCGGACTACTCTGCCGTTGCGTAGAGATTGAATTCAGTGAGTTCAACGTCGACACGAGTGCAACTGACGAAAACATTTTAAAAACTTCGGTGCCCGGCATCGGACGTAATACACGTCGTTCGCAGGGGTCGGCTTTGTGCGTTTTTGTTTTAAGCATTATTATTTGTCCGACGACCGATTCGACCGCAGCGAGCATGTACAATACTTGCACAATATAGACACAATGCCATCGATTTAATTCAATATGTTAGCGTCCACACTCTTACCTGTGGCCAGTTGAGCGTGGTGAAATTGGCACACGGCGTCGGCTTCGAACCATGTCACTCTGTCTCTGAAATGTCGATAGAAAACCGGAAACTCGTTTTGCGGCAACAGCCAAGAACTGCTGATGTTCACCTGGAAAAAAGAAAATCGGTTTCCGTCAGTCCGGTGCGGTAACGGATATTATCAATGAAACGAAACAATAACCGTGTACCTGTAACGATGTAATTTAAGTGGCGTGTTTACTGGCAATAATTACGGGTAGGTACCTAATATACATTGCAATGGAATCATATAATAGGAGGTGGGTATGATTTATGACGAGGAAATAACTATTTTCTAGATCAGTTAATCGGATACGATGTTACCTCTTTTTATAGCGATACTAATTTTCTCGTCCGGTTAACCGATTACAATATTATATATATTGCGAACAATTTCGTTGCATTAGTCTTGCAGCGATGACTTTTCTGCACTGGCATTTTTTCAAAAACTTATGATACGAAGTAGAATTTAAGTACGGATTTAATTCAACATTAAAATATGTTTAAAATTAGTTTACAGATCATCTCATTTTTGGCTTTTTTTTTTCTATAGATAATTACAATAATTTATGTTATAATGATAATTTATTCATACAAATAAACAACGATTGGTCATTACTGTTTCTAATTCAGTTTCATTGCTATAAAAAAATTATTTATACAAAGTTTATTTCAAAAAAAATTATAGGTATACCAGATTTGAAATTATTACCAAGTTCAGTACGTATTTATTTTGATATTTTATGCTCAAAAAAAAAAGAAATCTAATTTTTAAATAAATGTAACTTATAAACCATTTTTAAAAATTTACGATTACATCACGATCTCATAATGATATCGTAGACGCTTTAAATTGAGTGACTTGTTTTTTTCCTCATTCAATGAATGCGTTTTTACACAAAGTTCTTTTACGACGTTTCATCAATAAGAAATAAACATAAAAGCGTTCCAAGAGACTACAATGTTACGGAAATTGTGTAGTAGTAGGAGTTGTATAATGCACTACTACAATTCCAAGGTATTTAAATAACTGTCAAGCTAACGACTGACTATGGGGTTTCTTTTTATTACTATCCTAGCCATGGGTACCTATTACGTCTATGTAATTGGCAGCTTTTTACCATAAATTTAATATTCATTAGTTTTGACGCATTAAACGCGGTTCAGTAATTCGGGGGTAAATGTCTTGATGAGAATAAAACGATTACGAGAGATTTAAGGGGAAAAATTACCGTCGTTTTAGTATTTTAGTAAAATACGCTGGGATCGTATTTCACCCAAACGATCACGTAATATCTCGAGATTTAGAAGAAAATCCTTTTTTGCTATTTACATTTTATTTCCACACACTTTTGATTATAAATTAAATGTTCAACTATTTGTGCTCTGGCGTTTTCTTCTCATAATTACACTGTATCATATTATAAAAAGAGGAAAAAAAGTTCACCAAGCAATATTGACAAATAAGAAAAAACAAGCGAATGTCTACGAATCCAAACTACAATAATGATTACTATCATCGTTACTGAAATGAAACGCACTTGCGGTCATTATATATAATATCTGCAAGATGCGTCTCGAGTTAGTATTGCGGCGCCAAGAGTCTGTCGTAAATGCCGAAATGGCCGAAGAGTAAACCGCCGAAACTATATCTATGTACAATGACATTATGTGAACAATAACGCTTTTTACTCGTTCGCATATAATATGATGTTATTATTAATAATGTAGTAATAATAATAATATAATATACATACGTTGTTGTCATTGTACGCATTGCCAGGCCACGGTGAATCGCCTATTATTATGGTGGCCGTGGCGTAATTTAATTTAAGGGGTTGTGTATATTGAAGACGAATGTTCGGTGCCCACACCCGGATCAGCCGGAAACACCCTTAAATACCGTCGAAAAATCTTGCGCCCCAAAAAATCCCGTATACAACACCGCCCGTATTAACCGAAACCTGAATAATTAGGCACTGGTTAACCCGAAACCCGATGGCGTTTTTATTTTACAAATTTTGAGTGGCGTGTAATTTTGTACGATTGTTTCGATGGTAGTTCCATGGTGCATGTCCGATCAGTTGTTTGATGCTAATAAGTCGATTTTCGACAGGAATGATTTCGCAATCAATCGGTGTTGATTATTATTTGACAATACAATATACCTATTATATATCCATCGTTATATCGACGCATTTGAAAATCGAGCACTTCGTTAGCTGCACCCGCTGCTGCAGATGAGTCACACAGTAATTTGTTAATCTGCCCCGAGCTTAAAATGACTTGGAAATAAATTATGAGTTTATCCTTTGATTCTGAACGCCGAAACGAATCGTCTAAAATTGCGATAAAATAAATCCAAACAACGCCAATGGCAATGTAAGACTTCCGAAGCAGTAGCAGTATTACCTTTGTGTAATACCATAGTGTTATTGAGGCGCCACACAATCATAAATTGTTTGTGAAACCCATTTCGCATGACAAAAGAACCGGCCTAGATAGTAGATAATAGACGGTAGAAATATTATATGTTGTTTTTGTTATGTGAATCGATCGATCTCCTGAAACGCGAATTGCTAAGACGTAAAAAATGAATTGATGAAAAAAAAACCGTTTTTTGACGGGTCGTAAGTTATTGAATTGAAAACGGTATGGACCACCGATCTCTGCTGGCGAGCAGAACGTCGACAATTTTTTTCCGAATCAAAATCTCACCTCCCGCAACCCAACAATTCAATGTCGCTTTTGAGGATATTTGGTGCACGTAGTTGATCACCTCTGACGTCAAATTCTGTGTCGAACTTTGTCGTCGATTAATTGCCGCGCGGAGCGTCGAAATTTAATGAGACGTTATTCGACAAATGTCGAATTTAATTCGTCTAGTCAGAGTCTTGCCGGAGAATTATTATTATTACTATTACACGGCCAAACGTAATTGAAATAGGGTATGCCGGAGTACTGCGTTTTAATTACTCGCCGTTACCAGTTACCACGTTAACGATTTGAATTCCGTAGGAATAATAATTATCGCACCTAATTTACACTCAGCCGATCTCATTATGCACGCCAATAACCGATATTATAATCCGGACCATGTTATTACATCCTGTGGGACAATGATACTTACGAATAACATGTTCAAGCGAAGCAATTTTTTAATTTATACTTTAGTAAATATTTCGAAATTATTTTTTTCGTCTGACGTGGAGCATTGCACGCTGAGAAGAAAATATGGTTTTATATTTTTAAGAATTTCGTTTATTTTCGATTTATGCCTACCTTTATTTTGATAAAAATATGTTGAAACTCAGTTCCACCGGTTAGGTTAGGGAAAGTGCTGCAGATATTTTGCCATACGACAAATTTCGAGTTTAATGCAATCAAATAATTAGGCATACGATTTGTTTCCTAACCGGAAACACTTAGTGTTGTGTGATTTATGGTTGAGCCTCGAGGACTACTAACAATAGTGTTGTATGTTGTTAACATGGCGGGCGTTCCGAGTAGGCAATATCGGTACATTGATGTCGATAATCGACGTTACCATAATACACGCAACATTCATAATATGTCAGATTCACATATTTTTTAATAATTCAAGGATAATAGAGGAAAACGTTGTTTCCATCAAACGTCGAGACGACGGGATTTCCGCCGAAGACGAAAAAGTCTAAAGTTGACGTGTTCTGGCTGTGCTTAACATTTTCATTTTTTGAAACCTCTTCGTCTTCAGTGCTGCGTGTCTGGTAATTAGTAACGGTGCGGTGGTTATTTCGGTGAAACGATTTTCGCCTGATGTTCAAAGTAAATGCTAATAATGTTGGTCTATACATTGTGCCACCGGAATGCCGAGGGCCCGTTCCAGGGGACTGTTTTATTGCTGTTTACCCCCCCCCCCCCTCTCTCAAGTTGTTGCTAGTTTGATTCGATTAATTTCCGCACGCATGCGTAATCTCCGAACGCAGGCATTCGTCGGGTCGCGAGCGTGATGAAATCAAAGATTATTGGTCGAATAACGTGCATAGATTATACACGGTAGGTATGTGTTATCATGCGGTATCGGTTTAAATGTAATTTGTGTTACCCACCTCAAAGTTTAACGGGCGGAAAGTTAAATAACTGGAATCTGATCACCTCCGCAATCGGACTTGCGGTACCTGGCTAGTTGTTCATAAACATCCGATTTCGAATTGCTTACACATAATATTATCTATATACCTAACCTATACCTTGGTTTTTACAACGAGAACGGCACATTTACTTTAAGGGCGTACAAAAGGTATACCCTGCACAATAGCTCTGAGGCGCGTTATCATTTCTAAACTAAAATACGCTTTTACGCGTTCATAATGATCTAATAAAATATTCCATATACACGGCACACAGTCGTTTTTTGGTCGATTGAGTAGATTACTAGAATAACACTCCACTCTGCCGAGCATTAAAATTATTTTTCACTACTTTCCTTATAGAAATATCCATTAATGAACTATTGGTCCCGTATATCATCATCATTATTATTATTAAGGTCTACAACGCTTTTACAAACGATTTTTACCGCCTTTATTTCCCCGGTAGTGTAGAAGTTACTGAATTATGGGATATTTTTAGGTTTGTAAAAATAATTTTAAATCACGTTATTTCCCCGTCGTGTCCGTCTGTTCGTCCATTAGTTACCAGTCAACAGTTACAATCATAGACCTATTAAATAGTTATTAACTAGTATTAACTAATTAATAGGTCTATGGTTACAATATTGTTTGTATTGATAACCGTGGTCCTATTTAGAGTAAAATCATACAAGTCAACATTAAAAATATTAGTATTTATATCGATTCATAGTAGTCGATATTACATAGTACTATAGTAGGTACTTCCAAAATATAAAAGGTGACCAAGCAGAGTGAGTATTGTTGTAACTATGAGGAAGACCGGAGTTCTGAATTTTTTTAATTGCAAATAATAAATCATGGCGACAGTGACACCCGTATATTATAAATGCACACTGATTTCTATTTAATTTATTAAAATATATTCCGTACGACTGTGTTTTATTTATTTTAAAATTATTATCAAGAACAACTAAAT